AGGACTCCCTTGAGAATTTCTTGCAGGATTGGTCATGTGGTGATGAACTCTCACAGGTTTTGATTGTCTGGGAAACACACCATCTCTCCCTGACTTCTGAAGGATAGCCTTGCTGGGTATAGTATTCTTGGCTGACAGTTTTTTTCTTTTAGTATTTTGAATATGTCATCCCATTTTCTTCTCACCTATAGAGTTCCAGTTGAGAAGTCAGCTATTTGTCTGATGGGGACTCCCTTATTAGTAACTTGATGCTTTTCTCTTGCTGCTTTTAGGATTCTGTCTTTGTCTTTGAGATTTACCAGTTCGACTATAATGTGTCTCTAAGAGGATCTTTTTGGATTGAAACTGTTTGGAGATCTTTGAACTTTCTGGATTTGAATGTCTGGACTCTCCCTATATCTGGGATGTTTCCCATGATTATTTCATTGAATAGATCTTCAATGCCTTTTTCTTTCTCCTCCCCTTCCAGAACACCCAAGATTCCGGTGTTTGTGAACTTAGGACTTTCTACTAGTTCTCTTAAAAGTTCTTCATTTTAAAATCTTTTTTCCAGGCCGGCCTGGTGGCGCACTGCTATAGTGCGCCACTTGGGAAGCACGGTGGCGCTCCTGCTGAGGGTTCGGATCCCACATACAGACCGGCCACTCACTGGCTGAGCGAGGGGCGGGAGCAACACCGAGGGTTGCGATCGAAAAAAGACAAAAAGGAAAAAAAAAAAATAAAATCTTTTTTCCTTCCTTCTTTTTTTTTTTTTTTTGGTCTACCTTTATTTCATAAAGACTATCTTTGAGTTCAGAAATTCTTTCTTATGCTTGTTTTAATCTGCTCCTGTAGTTCTTGGTTGCATTTTTTCTTTCATTGAATGTGACTTTCAGTTGCTGAAGTCCTGCTAAGTTGTTTTTTAAGGTATTAATCTCTTTGTAATTTTCATCCCTCATATCCTGGATATTTTTGTTCATTTCATTGTGTTGTCTTACAGAGTCCTCTCCTATCTCATCGAGTTTTCTTAAGATAGTTTCTCAGAGTTCATTTTCATTCATTTCAAGGGTTCCCTGTAGTGTACTGTCTGGTACTTGAGAGTTACTGAATTCCTTTGGTGGTGACATATTTTCTGATTTTTTCATATTTCTAGTACCTCTACATNTTTTTTCTTTTAGTAATTTGAATATGTCATCCCATTTTCTTCTCACCTATAGAGTTCCACTTGAGGTCTGCTATATGTCTGATGCAGACTCCCTTGTTAGTAACTTGATGCATTTCTCTTGCTTCCTTTATGATTCTGTCTTTGTCTTTGAGATTTACCAGTTCGACTATAATGTGTGTCTAAGAGGATCTATTTGGATTGAAACAGTTTGGAGATCTTTGAACTTTCTGGATTTGAATGTCTGGTCTCTCCCTATATCTTGGATATTTCCCGTGATTATTTCATTGAATAGATCTTCAATGCTGTTTTCTTACTCCTCCCCTTCAGGAACACCCAAGATTCAGGTGTTTGTGCACTTAAGACAGTCTACTAGTTGTCTTAAAGGTTCTTCATTTTAAAATCTTTTTTCCTTCCTTTTTTTTTTTTTTTTTTTTTTTTTTT